TTACAATCCTGGTATTGGTAAGTTTGAACTGGCAAGACGTCCACTGAGCAAGACTGTAATATCCAGCAACACGATGCTGGCAAATGTGGCAACCTAAGTTAGAAGAGTAAAATAAGCTATGAAGGCTTGGGCTGAATCTTTTACATAATTTATGTTGAATGCTTGAAAATAATGATGATCGGAATAAGTATTCATAACAATAATAAGGATTACGTGGAAATTTTTATCAAAATCCAAATTTCAGTGCAGACTTCCCTTATTCAGCTGAAAACTATTACTGGTAAAATAAGTTACATTGCAACATTTATGCTTTCCAAAAGAGGCAACATGTTTGATGATTACAAGTTGAACTAATAAGTGTTTTCAGCAGAGGACATGTCCGCCGAGCAGCTATAAGCCTTCACCGTCATCAGTGTGTTTGCTGCTTCCACAAAAACTCCAGTTTATTAAATACTGATCAACATCTGATGGTCGTTGTACGTTGACACCCTGAACCAACATGTGGATAGTTTGGAAACCCACTTTTGATGTTGAATTGATGTATTTTAAATACTTTGAAGAGAGAAATGAGTGGGAAAAGCCGCTGATCACTGCTGTCCACGGCGCTGAGTAGGTGAGGTTTGGAGGCTCCTCAAACAAAACGCATTGATCATCAGAGCTCTACGTGACCTGAACATGAAGAGAAACTAGTCCGCTATCGGCTCCTCCACCTTCAGCCTCCAGCACCTGATGCACATTTAGTTTTTAGTCTTTAATCAGTGGAGAGAAAACACAAGTGACTCGACTTTCAGACTGCACGAGGAGCTCCGGGCTGGGTTGAGTCTCTACGGTTCTCATGGTGCGTTTAAGTTCAGTCCGCTGCTTTGAGCTCTTCATCAGTCTCACTCTCTCGAGTCCTCGACGATACAAACGTACAACGGGACAACATGGCAGAAGTAGCTCCAGCTCCACCGCCGGCCGCGCCCAAAGCAGCCAAGAAGAAGGTGTCCAAGCCGAAGAAGGTCGGCCCCAGCGTCTCTGACCTCATCGTGAAAACTGTGGCCGCATCCAAGGAGCGGAGCGGCGTGTCTGCTGCCGCCGTCAAGAAGGCTCTGACCGCCGGAGGATACGATGTAGACAAGAACAAGGCCCGCGTCAAGACCGCCATCAAGAGCCTGGTGGCCAAGGGGACTCTGGTCCAGGTCAAGGGGATCGGGGCCTCCGGCTCCTTCAAGATGAGCAAGACCACCGCCGACAAACCGGCAAAGAAAGCCGCTCCTAAAGCCAAGAAGCCCGCGGCCAAGAAACCCGCAGCGGCCAAAAAGCCCAAAGCGGCGGCAGTGAAGAAAGTTGTAGCCGCTAAGAAGTCACCGAAGAAGGCCAAGAAACCCGCAGCGGCCAAGAAGGTGGCCAAGAGCCCCAAGAAGGTAGCAAAGAGCCCCAAAAAGGTGGCCAAGAGCCCCAAGAAGGTGGTGAAAAAGGCCCCTGCAGCCAAGAAATCTCCAGTGAAGAAGGTCGCTAAGCCCAAAGCCAAGAAAGCAGCACCCAAGAAGAAGTAAACTGATGTGACAAACACTTCTATAAAAGGCTCTTTTAAGAGCCACCCAATCCCTCCTTAAAGAGCTTTTCCTTCTCTTAAATATTAACACAATACTTTTTATGTTTATCTCTAATCAAAGATACACTGTTAACTGTTGTGGATTAACGCCCTTCAGTTTAATCTGTGTTCTATTCTTTCTCCAACGCGTTTACTTATCTGACAGACTCTATTTAAAGCACCCTCATTGTGATTATCCTGATGTTGTCCCACTATTGTCCCTCTTTCTGGCATGTTGCTGCTAGACTAACTGGCTCATTCTGGTTGATGTCTCCTAGTGTCTACAGACACACACGAGACCTTTGAGCGACTGCCGGTGTCTCTACATTATCTTGCCCAAACTTTTGCTATGCGGTCAAAGACGTGTTTCCATTTATATTCAACCTTGCCTTCCTGCCCTTTTTGAGCCCCCGTTAAATTAAACAGATTCACCTAGATTTATAGATTCCCTAGAAAGTTGGACGATATACACATTTTTCTAATACACCATAATGGCCACTATTGTGTTTTTGGTACTCCTTTTAGAAAAAAGGAACCATGGATGCAGATCGGGCAACAAGGCAGTTTGTGCTTTGAATTGATAAGCAATCATTAAACAATTTGCACATTTCACTTAAACATGTATAACCGAATTATGACCATTATGAATATTTCAGTAAATACTGTGCCATTTTAAAAATGAACACATGAGGAGAAACGTTTTGAAATACAAGCATAAGGAAATCATCTTTAGAAGAGGTGGGCGGCTCTTAAAAGAGCCTTTGTGTTGGTGGTCTACATCAGGTTTACTTGGAGCTGGTGTACTTGGTCACGGCCTTGGTTCCCTCAGACACGGCGTGCTTGGGCAGCTCGCCGGGCAGCAGCAGGCGCACAGCGGTCTGGATCTCCCTGGAGGTGATGGTGGAGCGCTTGTTGTAGTGAGCCAGGCGAGAGGCCTCACCGGCGATGCGCTCAAAGATGTCGCTCACGAACGAGTTCATGATGCCCATGGCCTTGGAGGAGATACCGGTGTCGGGGTGCACCTGCTTCATCACCTTGTACACGTAGATGGCGTAGCTCTCCTTCCTGGACTTTCTCCTTTTCTTGCCGCCCTTGGTGACGGCCTTGGACACGGCTTTCTTGGAGCCCTTCTTGGGCGCTTTCACAACCTCAGGCATGATTCAAGTCACTTTCGTAGACTGTCAATGTCGCGAACAGAATAGGACGGCATCTATATATGAACGAGATGCAAATATCTCTGTGCGGTTGCTCGAGATTGATTGGTTACCTTCTGTGTGATACTGCGCATGCGTCACAAACATCGCCTCTAAACGGATTTCTCTATTGAGATTGAAGCACTTTAGTGCTCTTGATTTAACACGAGATTGTTTTTTATTTGTGTCGTTTCACAACAGAGTTGCATGTTGAGAATCATGTTGTAAGAATCATTGTGTGCACTGAAATCATCTAATGAAGGTCACACAAACCATTCACAATCACAGGGCACCCTGTTGATAATTATGTCAAGACATGACACACACCTTTTTTTCAGGCAACTGACAGGGAATTATTGAGACGCTACAGATTAGATCGTGCAGGAATCATGTTTGTGGTGGATCTCCTTAGAGATGCAATTACTTCACCAACTCGACGCCACAACGCTATTACACCGGAGAAGAAAGTTGCCAGATTATGTGGTAGGCTATAGTATTTTGCTCACCTGTGAGTGAGGATTCCCGCTTCTGTGCTGAAATCTCATCTTTTGCCTTGGACTGCAGCACATACCACCTTTTCTCACAATCGTCGCCTGTCCGCACCACCAGTGGAAAAGAGGCATTGATTGTTAGGCATATTGTGTCCCAGGCGTGCGCCTCTTGCCTTGGCTGGTGACAGTTGGGCCAAATTTTCCTCGTAACATACCTTTATGTTGGTTCACCAACTGGGCCAGCAACAAACCTTGCTCCTCAGTCCAGTTCGGGTTGCGATTCCTTTTTTTCTCCATTTTCTGTGTTTGTAGGATATTTGTTAACAAGCCTTCATAAATAGACCAGCCAGCAATCACAGACATTGATAAAAGCTGAGCCGTGTCACCCTCGTTAAGACCACACTGAGTTGTAACGTTGCAATTTCTACTTCATTAAGGACAGCCCCTTGAGATAGGCCATCTTGTTTTCAATGGGGTCCATATGGGAGTGAAAGTACAAAATATGCCAGCTAGGATATTAATATGAGCAAATAAGACACAAATCATTATTTGAACAGGGTGTAATGAGCTTAAGTTTTCACATATTTTAGATTCTAATGTTATGCTATAAACCCTACAGCTTACTATTCATTTTCCAGATATTTTCTTGAATGTGAAATATTATTTACAATTACAGTCTGCATAAGATTAGAGTGTATAATTATGTTTATTGATTTGAGGGTACATCCTTTGCTCATTATCACCAAAAGTTCATTTTCATCAAACTTGTAGGATCAACCAATCACGGCTTTTGAAATAATGACTCATACCTAGCAACGGGGTCAACCACACCTCCTCACTAAGAGAGGATTTTCCATCCATTCCTTGCTCAGAGTTCACTGAAAATGTTCTGGAATCACTTCTAAGCTAAAACTCCTGGCAAGGAATTTTTAGGTTAAGTTAGGAGCTCTGTGAGAGGATTCTCAGAATCTTTAGGGATACGGGCCCTGGTCTGTAGTTAGCCAACACCTCTGGAGCAAGAGTAGATTTCTTAAAAACAGGTTTAATTAAAGCTACCTTGAAGGACTGTGGTACATGTCCTGTCAACAAAGACAGATTCATAATATCGAGTAAAGACTTCCTTCAGCAGACGGAAATCGGATCCAAGAGACAAGTAGAAAATTTAGACTTCAAAATTAAAGAAGTCAGTTGATCAAGGTTGATGGAAGAGAAAGCATCCAAACAGGCATCAGGGCCCACTGCTGCATCCAAGGTTCCTACATCTGAGGACAGGTTTGGCACTGGTTGAAGGCAGGAGACCATCAATTTTCTCTTTTATAGTCAGAATCTTAGCATTGAAGACATTCATGAAGTCGTTACTACTGAGGTCCAAAGGAATACACGGCTCGACCGAGCTGTGACTGTCAGTCAGGCTACAGTGCTGAAGAGAAACCTGGAGTAATAATCATGAGTAATAAGATGCTCTTGTATACAGAGAGCCGTCTTATATGTTTTATGTTTTCAATCCGATCATATCCGATTTGGTGGAACGGCATAATCGTTCAAGTTTCCGCACAGTTTGCTTTAGGTTCCGGGTTTGAGGGTTATACCAAGGAGCAAACTTCCTTCTTGTTGCTATTTTTCTTTCCAGAGGAGCAATAGCGTCCAGCGACCACTCTCAAAGAGCCTGTAGCAGCATCGACAAAATGATCGATCTGGGACAGATTGAAGTTCTCACAGGACACTAAACTTAGAGCAGAAGGAATGGCTTCTTTAAATGGGGTTACAGCAGTATCCGATGAGTCAGTGATTCTCAACCGTTTTTAATGGGTCGTGGGCCTTTGCCTGGGAAAATAAAAATTAGAATAAAAAAAAAAAAACATAGTGTTTGTCATATCTGTTAAAGTTAGGTCATTTGTGTCTTTTTATGACTTTTGTTTGTGCATGAAAGCTGTCGAGTTTGTTTGAAATGGCTGAAGATTCTTAATTGTTATGCATGTTGTAATACCTCGTGTCCTTAAGATACACTTTGGGGGTTGTAAAAGGGAATAGTTCCCTCTCTAGAATCGCTACTAGTGATGGGAAGTTTGGATCATTTTACAAACTCGGTTCTTTGAATCTCGTTCAGTAAAATGAACAAATCTTTTTTTGAGTCATTCGTACACGTCGGCGGGGGTGGTAAGATAAATTGTTGGTGGAAAACCAAAGAACCGATTTGAAACTAGGCTCTGTCTCCGAACTAGCACCAGTTCTGCCTTGGTGGAAAAGGGGTGAACACACACAGAGACAGAGACACACCCACAAATACCCTGGCAGTGGCCCTGGAGCCGTCACAGCAAATGTGAATTGAATTAACCCCAATGAGGTACTCCATGATTATCATGTCAAAAAACACTGTTAGTGTTAGTCAGGTCATCTCGTGTCTACGTGTCTTGTGATTTCTTGTTATATTTTGAAAATTAACCTTCCTCTCGTTCCTCTCTCTGTGTGTATATAATGTCTGCATCTCCCTTTGTCCTGTGCCAGTTCGTCTTGTCCTAACGAGATGTGTGCAGTATTAGGCCTATGCAATGTTATTTAAGGCGCTATAGGGTTAACGTGGATTGTACACTTTGGGTCGCTGTGTTAGTGAAGTTGTTTTAGTAGCCTTGCTACTGTCGGTTATATATAATGGTTACATAGGTTGGAGGGTGTGGGCTAAACCAATGCTATGTCTCCTGCCTTGAAGTCAATGCTCCCTATTATAAAATATTGTTATAATAAAAGTATTCTTCCAAATCCTTCAGTCTGGTGATTGTGCTCCCCGGAGATCTTAAGTTAGGAGCCCTACACGACGCTTGCACCAGCGTTATACGTCACTCACCCCAAATGATGTCATTATATTTATTTTAATATTTCAGTACGTTTGGTTCAATAACATAAAAACGTGAAAGCCGAAGCGCAGTAGCTGGTCGGGCCGATAAGTGACGAAACACCTGGCAGAGAATGGAGGCGACCTGAGTGAGGCTGCTTCTTTACGCAGAAGAAGTTGGTACCAAAATAAACATTTGCCAAAACCAACCACTAGTCTTCATCCTCCACGTGTTTTCTTGTAAACCTGAAAATAAAGAACAAGTCATACCTTCATGTCGCTGCTTATCACAGCATGGATCGGAATCACTGTTAATCCTCCGCTATGAACAAAATTACAGCGCACAGAACTCGACTTTATGGGCTGCTGTTGTTTCATGCTTTATGTGCAACAATCTTGTCTAGACAGTTAACTCTGAACATGGTGTATAGCCATCAGTGATACAGGCCATACATGCACATTGAGTGTTGTCTAACTTATAACAGAGACAATATATTTGAAGGGATTTGAAATATTTGCAGCCC